GCAATATTGCAGGAAACCGAGCGACTTCGTCACTGTGATCCCAGAAATTTGTGAAAACAAAACGGAAAACTACACATCATGTACTCGAACACAACGTGACCATGATGTCACGACAAGACTCAACCGATCGTCACAATCACAAACCACCTTAGGCTATTCTTGTCTTTATGACTACATACATCCAAAACCAGCTTCCATTAGGCGGCCGAGTCTGTACAAAGGACTGAACAGAAGTTTAGTAGAAAAAAGATTTGATACAATATCGGCCAAGTACCCAATACTACAATGGCCTAAACTCGTCAACGAAAAATTTATCCTTGTAAGCTTTGGATCGCTCGCACAGGTGAGAAGCTAGAAGACTTCACTAAAAGCTTCAATTTGCTTTTTTTCTTGTTTAGGCTCAATATATGCCTCTAAATCTCGCTCGCAAGCTTCTCTATGCCTTCTCACAAACTCCCTATAAAGTCATCTGGGCAACAAATTCTTTTCCCAAGTCACTCATGTGGGCAAAGAAATTGAGGATACCTAGAAATGTAGTCCTTATCCGCTGGGCTCCGTTGAAGGAGATGTTAGGTTGCATATTTACTATGCATATGTTTGTGATGTCAAACACACTTTTCTTCTTATAGTTCACCCAAATCTACAGTATCTGATCAGCCATGGAGGCATTAACACCATAAACGAGCAGCTTTTGTTCGGAGTCCCAATGATTGGAGTTCACCTACAAGTATTAATTCCTTCTACAAAAGCGTATTTAGAATTAAACCTTTAGCAGTTTTGTATTCATTTGGAGATACTGTTAATTACAGGGTGACCAAGGTTCAAATGTTAGACGCCTGGCGGATCTCGGCAGCTGCAAAATGATTTCTATGCGTCGAATCTGGCAGGATGAATTGCTTTCTACCATGAAGGAGTTTGAGAGAAATTTGGAAAGGTGAAGATATATAATCAGACAAGAAATATAAATGATATGAAAAATGAGAAATTACGTACGGCAACAACAGCCGAAATAGCCTTTGTTACTGAGACTAACATAAACACAGTATTTTTAGATATTGGAAAAGAGCTGGCCAACTTTCCTCAATGCTCGCAACCTATCGTAGGCTGCATGTTGGAGAACAAGAGTTCTGGATGAAATGGACAATTCGCCATGGAACTAGGCTCCGTGACAGAAATCTGTTTAGAATGAACTACATTGGCGACACGGAAAACGAGTTTTGGTTCACCATTGTAATGATTTTTATTGCATCTCTATTTATTGCTTCAATCTAAAATGCAATACTCTGATCTCAAAGTTCGATTTCACTTGGTTGTCGCATATAAACAGTGAATATTATTAATGATATCAAGAACAAAGAAAGATCATATAAGAAAACAAGTTTAGTTCTCGTTCGTAGAAGTCTCTTATAGATAGATCTTCTACCCACTTAAGTTCCAATATATTCAATAAACCTAGCATCTCAACAATAGCTC